CACTTTGGGAGGCCGAGACGGGTGGATCACGAGGTCAAAAGATCGAGACCATCCTAGCTAACATGGTGAAACCCCATCTCTACTAAAATACAAAAAAAAAAATTAGCCGGGCATGGTGGCGGGTGCCTGTAGTTCCAGCTACTTGGGAGGCTGAGGCAGGAGAATGGCGTGAACCCGGGAGGCGGAGCTTGCAGTGAGTCGAGATCACACCACTGCACTCCAGCCTGGGTGACAGAGCGAGACTCCGTCTCAAAAAAAAAAAAAAAAAAAAGAATGCAGTTCTAGAGGTTAGACGTCTAAAATGGGGTGGCAGGGCTGTGTTTCTTCTGGAGGCTCTAGGGGAGAGTCTGTTTCCTTGCCTTTTCTAGCTTCAGGAAGCCACCCCCATTCCTTGGCTCATGGCTGTTCCTCCATCTTCAAACTTCAAAGCCAGCACCATTGGCATCCTCTCTTCTCTGACCTCTATGTCCATCCTCACATCTTCCATGAATCAGACCTTCCTGCATTCCTCTTATTTATTTTTTTATTTTTTGAGACAGAATCTCACTCTGTTGCCCAGGCTGGAGTGTGGTGGCTCAGTCTTGGCTCACTGAGGCCTCCACTGCCTGGGTGCAAGCAATTCTCCTGCCTCAGCCTCCCCAGTCACTGGGATTACAGGCGACCGCCACCATGCCCAGCTAATTTTTATTATTTTTAGTAGAGATGGGGTTTTGCCATGTTGGCCAGGCTGGTCTTGAACTCCTGGCCTCAGGTGATCCACCCGCCTCAGCCTCCCAAAGTGCTGGGATTACAGGCGTGAGCCACAGTGCCCAGCCACATCCCTATTTTAAAGACCTTTATGATTAGTGTGCCTACCCAACTGATCCAAAATAATCTCCCTAACTCATCAGCCTTAATTTTTAATTTTTTATTTTTTTGAGACAGGGTCTTCCTTTGTCACCTAGGCTAGAGCACAGTGGTGTGATCATAGCTCACTGTAGCCTTGACTTCCTTGGCTTAAATGATCCTTCCACCTCAGCCTCCCAAGTAGCTGGATTACTGGGGTGCACAACCACACCTGGCTTTTTGTTTTGTTTTTGAGACAGAGTCTCATTCTGTCACCCAGGCTGGAGTACAGTGGTGCCATCTCAGCTCACTGCAACCTCCGCCTCCCAGGTTCAGGTGATTCTCCCTCCTCAGTCTCCAGAGTAGTTGGGATTACAGGTGCGAGCCACCTACCCAGCTAATTTTTGTATTTTTAGTAGAAAAGGGGTTTCACCATGTTGACTAGACTTGTCTTGAACTCCTGACCTCAGGCAATCCAGCCACCTAGGCCTCTCAAAGTGCTGGGATTACAGGAGTGAGCCCAGTGCCTGACCCACCTGTTAAATTTTGTTCTAACTTATTGAGCAAAAAATGGCACCTTGGCTGGGTGCAGTGGCTCACGTCTGTAATCTCAGCACTTTCAGAGGCCATATCAGGTGGATCCCTTAAAGTTAGGAGTTCGAGACCAGCCTGGCCAACATGATGAAACCTCATCTCTACTAAAAATACAAAAATTAGGTTGGGCGCGGTGGTTCACGCTTGTAATCCCAGCACTTTGGGACGCCAAGGTGGGCGGATCATGAGGTTGGGAGTTTGAGACCAGCCTGGCCAACATGGTGAAACCCCATCTCTACTAAAAATACAAAAAATTAGCCTGGTGTGGTTGCACACACCTGTAATCCCAGCTACTCGGGAGGCTGAGGCAGGAGAATCACTTGAACCCAGGAGGCGAAGGTTGCAGTGAGCCAAGATCATACCACTGCACTCCAGCCTGGGTGACAGAGCGAGACCCCATCTCAAAAAAAAAAAAAAAAAAAAAAAATTAGCTGGTGTGGTGGTGCACGGCTGTAATTCCAGCTACTCAGGAGGCTGAGGCAGGAGAATCACTTGAACCCGGGAGGGGGAGGTTGCAGTGAGCCGAGATTGTGCCGCTGCATTCCAGCCTGGGCAACAAGAGCAAGACTCTGACTCAAAACAAAAGCTAAAACAAACAAACAAGAAAAAAAGAGAATGGGAGAAAAGAGGAGACAGAGACCAGAAAGTTGGGGGACAAAGAGAAATAGAGAAGGCCAAAGACCATGAAATAAATGAACAGACTCAGACAGAGGGAAGATGGAGACCCAGAGAGAGGGATACAGAAGTCCAGGGGACACAGCACCCCAAAAAGGGTGGGTGCGGTGGCTTATACCTGTAATCCTAGCACTTGGAGAGGTCTAGTATGGTGGATTGCTTGAGCTCAGGAGTAGAAGACCAGCCTGGGCAACATAGCAAGACCCTGCTTCTACAAAAATTACAAAAAATAGCCATGCATGGTGGCTCACGCCTGTAATCCCAGCACTTTGGGAGGCCAAGGCAGGCAGATCACCTGAGGTCAATAGTTCGGACCAGACTGATCAACATGGAGAAATCCCATCTGTACTAAAAATACAAAATTAGCTGAGCATGGTGGCACATGCCTGTAATCCCAGCTACTTGAGAGGCTGAGGCAGGAGAATCACTTGAACCTGGGAGGCGGAGGTTGCGGTGAGCCAAGATTGCACCATGGCACTCCAGCCTGGGCAACAAGAGAGAAACCCTGGCTCAAAAAAAAAAGAAAAGAAAAAGCAGGAGATCATTTGAGCCCAGAAAGTTGAGGCTGCAGTGAGCAGTGCCACTAGACTCCAGCCTGGGTGACAGAGTGAGACCCCATCTCAAAAAAAAAAAAAAAGATGAGAAAGGAAGAAAAGAAAAGAAAGAAAAAGAAGGCGTGGGAGCGCGGTGGCTCACGCCTGTAATCCCAGCACTGGGAGGCTGAGGTGGGCAGATCACCTGAGATCAGGTTGAGACCAGCCTGGCCATCATGGCAAAACCTCGACGCCTGTAATCCCAGCACTTTGGGAGGCTGAGGTGGGCAGATCACCTGAGATCAGGAGTTTGAGACCAGCCTGGCCATCATGGCAAAACCTCGTCTCTACTAAAAATACAACATTTAGCCTCGTGTGGTGGCAGACGCCTGTAATCCCAGCTACTCCGGAGGCTGAGGCAGCAGAATTACTTGAATTCAGGAGGCGGAGGTTGCAGTGAGCCAAGATCGTGCCACTGCACTCTAGCCTGGGCAACTGTGCAAGACTCTGTCTCAAAAAAAAAAAAAAAAAAGAAAAGAAAAAGAAAAAGAAAGGGCTGGGAGCGGTGGCTCACACCTGTAATCCCAGTACTTTGGGAGGCCAAGGCAGGCAGCTCACGAGGTCAGGAGTTTGAGACCAGCCTAGCCAACATGGTGAAACCCTGTCTCTACTAAAAATACAAAAATTAGGTGGGCATGGTGACGGGTGCCTGGAATCCCACCTCCTCAGGAGGCTGAGACAGGAGAATCGCTTGAAATCCACAGGCGGAGGTTGCAGTGAGCTGAGAACACACCACTGCACTCCAGCCTGGACAACAAGAGTGAAACTGTCTCAAGAGAAAGAAAAAAGAAAGAAAAGAAAAGAAAAGAAAGAGAAGGGAGGAAGGGAGGAAGGAAGCAGGAATAGAAGGAAAGAAGACAGATAAAGAGCGCCAGGATTAGCAGGGTGTTCTAACCCCTTAGCGCCTCGCTCCACACCCCCAGCAGAGGGCGACCGGAACTTCTTTCCTGGGAGTCTCCGTGATCAATCCCCTCCACTTCCCCCAAGCCCATCCGATGGGGCTATTTTTATGCAGTGTCACCGGACACCAGTGCCTAGAAGGCCACCGTCTTGTCTCTACGCCCTTCAGTTCCTGAGAATGACCCTGTGGCATCTCCCCGGCCCACACCCTCAACCCCCACCGTTCCTGGCAAGCCCAGCCTCCTTTTGCGAGAGTCATAGCCACAGCTCAGGCCCTGCTGGATCTCAGAGTCTCGCGAAGAAGCCAGGTGGAGACTCTAGGGCGAACTCTGGGGAGAGAATGGGGCGTGCGTGCACTGCTCAGTGGTTTGCAGCTGCCAGAGTGACCCTAGCACGGGACAGCCACCAGGACTGTGGCAGGACCCACATGGGGTGATGGTCAGGGAGACATTCAGAGATAATGACTCCCTAGACTCTAAGTCCTCTAGAGACGCTAAGGGGAGACCCAAAGGGGAGGGGGAGAGGAAGCCTGAGGCAGAGGCATGGAGGGCAAAGAGATAATGAGCAAAAAGAGACCTAGAGAGGAGAGACAAAGAGACCAAGAGAGACAAGAGATAAACGGAGACAGACCAAGAGTCAAAATAAAAACGGAGATCAAGACGTAGAGGCTGGCAGACGGACCCATACAGAGGCCCCCAGAACGACGAATCTCAGAAATAAATGACTCATGGAGATACTCAGAGATACATCCCAACAGAGACAGAGACCCACAGGGGACAGCTGGATACAGAAACACAAGAGAGAGACAGAGGCGCAAAAAGGCAACTCCAGGCCGGGCGCGGTGGGTCACGCCTGTAACCCCAGCACCTTGGGTGGCCAAGGCGGAAATATCACTTGAGGTCGGGAGTACCAGAACTGCCTAGCCAACATGGCGAAACCCCGTCTCTACCAAAAAAAAAAAAAGAAAAAAAAATTAGCTGGACTTGGTGGCACCTGTAATTCCAGCTATTAGTGCTGGGGCACTAGAATCGCTTGAGCCCGGGATGCAGAAGTTGTTGCAGTGAGCCGAGATCCTGCCACTGCACTCCAGCCTGGGCGATAGAGGGAAACTGTCTCAAAAATAAAATAAAATAAAAGAAAGAAAGAAAAAAGAAAAGAGGCCGCTGCAACCGAAGGCTCAGATTCTGACGAGACACACGCACATGGAAACTTGGAGAGACGCAGGACACGATCCTGGCGGCAGAGGGACAGAGGGAAAGGGGACCCCGGGACGGCAAAGGCGCAGAGCAGGCGCTGGCGGCGGCGGCGGCGGGGCAGGTCGGGCGTCCCGGCAGAGGGCGCGCGGTCGCCCTGTCGCCCTCCGCTCCGCCGGGGTCACAGTGCCCCCTCCCCCGCGCCCTGGCCGCCCTGCCGGGCTATTTTTACGCGCGGACACCGGACACCGGGCTGGGGCTGGGGCTGGGGCGGCGGCGTTGGCCGAGGCGGGGCCGCACCGGGGCCGGGCATCGGGGCCACACGTCCGTTCGCGGGTCGCTGGGGCTGCGCGCGCCATGGAGCCGCGGTGCCCGCCGCCGTGCGGCTGCTGCGAGCGGCTGGTGCTCAACGTGGCGGGGCTGCGCTTCGAGACGCGGGCGCGCACGCTGGGCCGCTTCCCGGACACTCTGCTAGGGGACCCCGCGCGCCGCGGCCGTTTCTACGACGACGCACGCCGCGAGTACTTCTTCGACCGGCACCGGCCCAGCTTCGACGCCGTGCTCTACTACTACCAGTCGGGCGGGCGGCTGCGGCGGCCGGCGCACGTGCCGCTCGACGTCTTCCTGGAGGAGGTGGCCTTCTACGGGCTGGGCGCGGCGGCCCTGGCGCGCCTGCGCGAGGACGAGGGCTGCCCGGTGCCGCCTGAGCGCCCCCTGCCCCGCCGCGCCTTCGCGCGCCAGCTGTGGCTGCTCTTCGAGTTTCCCGAGAGCTCGCAAGCCGCGCGCGTGCTCGCCGTAGTCTCGGTGCTGGTCATCCTCGTCTCCATCGTCGTCTTCTGCCTCGAGACGCTGCCTGACTTCCGCGACGACCGCGACGGCCCGGGACTTGCTGCCGTAGCCGCAGCCGGCCCGGTGAGAGGCGGGGCGTGGGTGGAGATGGGCGGGGTTTGGGAGGAGAGGGGCGGGGTCCAGAGGGGACCTGGCCAATAATAAGGCGGGGCCAGGGGCTACGAGGGGTGGGCCAGCCAAAGACAGGGTGGACGGGAGGCGGGGCCTGAGGATCCGAGTCGGAGGACCTGCCCCATCAGAAGGTGGGGTTGAGGTCAGTGAGAAACCCGGTGAGCAGAGGGCAGGGCGCTTGGTGCAAGGGGTAGGAGGACAGGAACCTTAAAAATCAGAGCTGAGGGGCCCCAGGAGAGCCTGAAAACTCCGGGGTCTGTGCGGCTGGGAAGGATGTGCTGGGGGTGATGAAAGCCAGGCCCTGAATAACGCCAGCTGAGGGTGCTGGAGCCCGAGGGGTAAGAGTAGGAAGAATCTATGGAAAGAAAGCCAGGCTTAGGGGCCAGAGGAGGGGCCTAGAGCTCAGCTTGCAGAGGTCTTTCTTTCTTTCTTTTTTTCTGTGAGACAGAGTTTTGCTCTGTCGCCCAGGCTGGAGTGCAATGACGCTATCTTGGCTCACTGCAAACTCCGCCTCCCGGGTTCAAGCGATTCTCCTGCCTTAGCCTCCCAAGTAGCTGGGATTACAGGTGCAGGCCACCACGCCCGGCTAATTTTTGTATTTTTAGTAGAGATTGGGTTTCACCATGTGGGCCAGGATGGTCTCTATCTCCTGACCTCGTGATCCGCCCGCCTCAGCTTCCCAAAGTGCTGGGATTACAGACGTGAGCCACCGCGCCTGGCCGCATTATAGTCTGGGCTGGGACAGGGGAGGGCAAGGAAAAGCTAGGCACAAGGTGGTGGGGCCAGGGCAGGGACCCTCCGCATCTAGAAACTCAACAGTGGAGGCGGGACTTTCGGAAAGAAGAGGTTGCACCCTACTCAAACATGAGTTCCCACGCATGAAGGGGCAGGAACCACCTCTCCAGCCACCCACCAGGTCAGGAAACCGAAAGTCAATGGCCCAGGGATGATTCATGGGATCCTGGGAGGAAGTCTGGGACAACCAGGTCACCGAGGGCCTTGGTGCAGCGGCTACTGACCAATGTGTAAAGAGGAGCTGGGTATTTAAATGATGATTAAGGCTGTCCCCGTGTCCCAGCCCCAGCCTGACCCTCCCTGAACACTTTCCTCCCTACAGTTCCCCGCTCGGCTGAATGGCTCCAGCCAAGTGCCTGGAAATCCACCCCGCCTGCCCTTCAATGACCCGTTCTTCGTAGTGGAGACGCTGTGTATTTGTTGGTTCTCCTTTGAGCTGCTAGTACGCCTCCTGGCCTGTCCAAGCAAGGCGATCTTCTTCAAGAACGTGATGAACCTCATCGATTTTGTGGCTATCCTGCCCTACTTTGTGGCACTGGGCACCGAGCTGGCCCGGCAGCGAGGGGTGGGCCAACAGGCCATGTCACTGGCCATCCTGAGAGTCATCCGATTGGTGCGTGTCTTCCGCATCTTCAAGCTGTCCCGGCACTCAAAGGGCCTGCAAATCTTGGGCCAGACGCTTCGGGCCTCCATGCGTGAGCTGGGCCTCCTCATCTTTTTCCTCTTCATCGGTGTGGTCCTCTTTTCCAGCGCGGTCTACTTTGCCGAAGTCGACCGGGTGGACTCCCATTTCACTAGCATCCCTGAGTCCTTCTGGTGGGCGGTGGTCACCATGACTACAGTTGGCTATGGAGACATGGCACCTGTCACTGTAGGTGGCAAGATAGTGGGCTCTCTGTGTGCCATTGCTGGCGTGCTGACCATTTCCCTGCCTGTGCCCGTCATTGTCTCCAATTTCAGCTACTTTTATCACCGGGAGACAGAGGGCGAAGAGGCTGGGATGTTCAGCCATGTGGACACGCAGCCTTGTGGCCCACTGGAGGGCAAGGCCAATGGGGGGTTGGTGGATGGGGAGGTACCTGAGCTACCACCTCCACTCTGGGCACCCCCAGGGAAACATCTGGTCACCGAAGTGTGAGGGACAGTTGAGGTCTGCAGGACCTCACACCTCCCTGGAGGGAGGGAGGGAGGGCAGGGTGGAGGGCAAGGCTGGGGGGAGGGGATTGGGTTTAGGAAGAGCTAGGTTAAGTGGTAACGAGTGGGGAAACACTGAGTCTTGTTGGGTCTTGGGTTGTGTGGTTTGGTAGCTCCTGTGGGTATCTCCCGAAGCAGCAGCGGATGGCAATGGGTTGTGTTGCGTTAATGAAGACTCAATTGGTTCATATTACACTGAGTTGTGCAAAGCTCATGGAGCCTTTTGGGGTAGTGTTGAGATAGGTTTGGTCATATCATTTTGTGAGTTTCCTAGTCAGTGTTGGGTTTCGTTGGGTTGTGAGTCTGGGTGAGTGTTGTCTAGCTGCATTATGTAGGATTCTGTGGTTTGATGGGTCCCCTAGGGCCATGTTGGGTCAAGTTAGATGGTCCCCTATGGCATGGTTGAGAATGATTGTGTGTGGTGTTCAGTTTCATTGAGACATGGCGGAAATTGTGTAGCTTTGTGATTCTTCCAGGACCATGTTATTTTAAGTTCTGTGAACTTGTGAGTCATGTAGAAATGTAAAGAGTCAAGTGGTAGAATTTGAGCTTTCTAGGTAACACTGGGCTAAGTATGTATGACCAAATTAATCTTGTAGAATTCTGCTGGGCTGAATTGTGTAGAGGTGTGTGGCTGGACATTTTTCACGGCCACAGCGAGTTGAGTTGTGTTGAATTGTACAACCATATGAGCCTTGTAAGGCCAGTTCAGTTGGGTCATGCCACTGTTTGAGTCTCATAGGGCCATGTTGAGTTGAGTTCCATTGAGTTGTGTCACTATGTGAGTCCTACAGGAAGTTGGGTTGAGTTGGACTGTGTGAGTGAGTTCCATAGGGCCACATCGGGCTGTTTTGCGTTTAGTGGTAGCACCAGGACCCAAAGGTAATAGCAATGAGGAAGCATCGTGTATCAGGGAGCAAATGCGGTGGCGAGGGCTCTGGGAGATGTGCTGAGCTGGCTCCCCAGCTCACTGTAGGGGGACTGGATTCTGTATCCATGGTATTGGGTGTTCATCCAGAGGTGATTGGGGTGAACTAGGAAAAGGTGGATGCTCCTCCTCTTTACCCCACATCCACTTTATTGTGCTGTTCACCCCCAATCTCCCCTACAGTTTTATGCTCAGACATGGAGGTCAGAGCCACAAGGGAAGGGGTAGAGGGGGAGAAAACTGTACTCTGTCCAGACATGATAGAGGGACAGAGCCAAAAGGATGGGGAAAGAGACCCAGAAAAAGGAAGAGATGGAAACCCAGAGAGACAGAGACCCAAAGGGAGAGACATAGAGACTCAGGGAGAGGAAGACAAAGACCTGGAGGGTGGGGTCTGGCAGAGATGCAGAAAAGGGGAACAGAAATCCAGAGTGAGGAGGTGACAGAGACCAAGAGCAGGGGATAGAAGCTGGGCGAAGTGGCCCGCACCTGTAATCTCAGCACTCTGGGAGGCCAAGGAAGGGGGATTGACTGAGGCCAGAAGTTGAAGACCAGCCTGGGCAACATGGTGAGACCCCATCTCTACAAAAAATACAAAAATTCGCTGTGGTGGCACATGCCTGTGATCCCAGCTACTCAGGAAGCTGAGGCAGAAGGATCCCTTGACCCTGAGAGGTAGAGGCTGCATTGAGCCATCATTGCATCGCTGCACTCCAGCCTGGGTGACAGAGGGAGCCCCTGTCTCAACAAACAAAAAGAGTGGGGGGACAGAGACCCAGGGGGCAGTGTCAGGCACCCAGAGTTAGAGACAGAACAACAGAGTCTCAGGGAAAGAGAACCACAATAGAAAAAGGCAGAAAAGGCCGGGTGCGTGGCTTATGCCTGTAATCCCAGCACTTTGGGAGCCCGAGGTGGGCAGATCACGAGGTCAGGAGATGGAGACCATCCTGGCTAACATGGTGAAACCCCGTCTCTACTAAAAATACAAAAAAATTAGCCGGGTGTGGTGGCGGATGCCTTTAGTCCCAGCTACTCAGGAGGCTGAGGCAGGAGAACGCGTGAACCCGGGAGGCGGAGCTTGCAGTGAGCCGAGGTCGCACCACTGCACTCCAGCCTGGGCAACAGAGCGAGACTCCGTCTCAAAAAAAAAGAAAAAAGAAAAAGAAAAAGGTAGAAAAAGTTGGTGCCCCTGAACCCAAGAGTGACGTACAGTCTATTCCATAGAATCACAGAGCGATCCTGAACCAGGCCTGTCGCCTACCCTCCCCGCAGCTCAGGAAGGCTGTCAGACAGGCTGGGGGCCTCCCTCTGTTTTCCAGGGGAGAAACCTGAGTCTCAGAGCAGGGGAGTGGCTTCCCAAGGTCTCGCAGCTTGTCCCCAGGGGCTAGGCAGGCTGTCTGTCTGCTTCACATGTCCCCGTCAGCCTGCTGGGACGCACAGGTCCTCCTGAGTTCCATAGCCTCATTTCTTACAGACAGGGAAACTGAGGCTCAGAGCGGCGGAGGTTACCCAAGGTCACAAGGCCGAACATTTTCAGAAGTCTTTCAGAACTCAAAGGGCATTTAGAGGAGAAGGAAGGCTAAAATCACTAACACATATAGGGCTTCCTTTGGTATCAAAGTACTTTACTTGGATTAATTTATTAAAACCTATCCAGTGGTTTACAGACTGTTGTTGTTATTTTTAGCCATACCTACCCCTTTTTTGGGTCAAATAAATCTTCCTTAGAGACACCAGTGGGAAGCATGGGAAGGGAACTGGTTGGAGGAGAACACGCCTCCTCTTGGCAACTCGAAATGCAGCTCAGGAATTCAGTGTGGAAACCCCTGGTTTCATCTGAGCACCTTTTCATACAGCTAAAGAGACGAAGGTACAGATGGTGGGAAGAGTTTGATAATGGTTGAAATTAATAGAAGCTTTAGGTAGTCACTTGTCTCTGAAATGGAGAGAAAGCCACATTTAGGGATAGAATGGAGACGGACCTCACAGTGACAAGAGACAAGTCAGACTCCAGCACAGAGACCTAAAGAGGAGATGCAGAGACAAACTGAGGCCAGGAGGGAGGAGGGGCCCAGAGCAAAAGAGAGAAATCCAAGGGCGAGGGGGAAGAGGGCAGATGGCCGGGAGTGGGGACAGAGACCCCCACAATGGGAAAGAGAAGCAGATAGTGACCCCAAGAGAAAGGATGCAACAGACTCAGAGAGAAGGAGACTGTGACCCAGTGAGGGTAGACAGATATCCAGAGAAGAAAACTGGGACCCAGAAAGGGGGGGGAACAGGCACCTGGGGGGGAACAGAGACCACAGAGAAGGGGGACAGAGACCCAGAGAAAGAGAGGGACAGAGACCCAGAGAGATAGGGGGACAGAGACCCAGAGCGGGGGAGACAGAGACCCAGAGAGAGAGGGGGACAGAGACCCAGAGAGAGAGGGACACAGAGACCCAGAGAGAGGGACACAGAGACCCAGAGAGAGAGGGGGACAGAGACCCAGAGAGAGAGGGGGACAGAGACTCAGAGAGAGAGGGGGACAGAGACCCAGAGAGAGGGGGACAGACACCCAGAGAGAGGGGGACAGAGACCCAGAGAGAGAAGGACAGACCCAGAGTTGGAGGGAGACAGAAATCCAGAGACAGGAGGACAGAGATCCAGACAGGGAGAGGACAGAGACTGTTTCTCAGTCACGCTGTTTGGAAACCTCATCCCTACTATCCCCTCCAGGACTAGAAGCTAGAGTCTAGAGTGCTCCTGCTATGGGGCAGGATGTATTGGGTGTTTAGGAACAGGGAAGTGTGGAGAAGCCAGAGAGGTGACCCGAACACACACCCAAAGCCTGGGAAGTGGCCCTTCCCCCCGCCAATAAATAACTGTGAGGAGCAGGAAACACCCTAACCGGGGACACCCTCCTGCCACCTTGCCATGCTATATTTAGGCTGAGGGGGTGTGGGATGACCCCTGAGGCAGGTGTCAATTTTCCTTCTGAAAATAGCACAGGCAGAGGGAGGCAGAGTCTCAGGGTGGAGGTGTGGTGGGGTGAGGAGCCCGGCTGCCCTCATGACTGTCCCGAGACACTCTAGCTCCGATCCCATCCCTGTCTTTCTGAGGGTCTCTCAGGGGCTCTGTCCCCTTCTCTGGAGGGTCTGCCGTCAGTCTCTCTGGGCCTCTGTCTTCTCTCTGGGCTTCTGCCCTCCCCCACTCTCTCTAGTCTTGATCCCCCTCTTTCTTTTGGTCTCTCCCCACTTTTCCATGCCTTCATCTGTCATCGGGCACCATTTCTGGAAGGAGGTGATTGTTCTTAAGACACATCTGTCTATCTCTGGGTCCTACGATACCTTGCATGTCTCTTATCTGAGCTCAGGACAAGACCCTCTCCCCGGTCCCCATCCAGGAAATTCCAGGGGAGAGGAGTATGCGGGAGCCCCCACATCCACTGTCTCCCGGGGCCTGGGGCCTTATCACTGCCCAAGCCCAGCTGGTTAATGTCTGGCGTGGAGCTCCTGGGAAGTGGGGAGGAGAGCAGAGAGTGGGAATCTGCCCCGGGATTGACACGCAATTGGCAAAAGACGGCAAAGGAATCTCAGGCCCAGACTCCTGGGGCTAATGGAGGAGGAGGCTGGGGGCTGGACTCCTGAGTCTGAGACGGGGCGGGGTTGGGAGGTGGTGGGGGGAACTGTGGGCTTAGTACTCAGGCGCCTGGGGCTCGGGGGAGAAGTGGCTGGGGTCGCAAGTCCTGAGTCTGAGGGAGGAGGGGCTGGATGCCTGGACTCCTGGGTCTGAGGGAGGAGGTGCTGGGGGCCTGGACTCCTGGGTCTGAGGGAGAAAGGGCTGGGGGCCTGGACTACTAGGTCTAAAGGAGGCAGCTGGAGACTGGGACTCCTGTGACCAAGGCGGCCGGGTTGAACGAGCGAGGCCTGGCTTCCAAGGTCCCGGCACGCCTGTGCAAGGCAGGATCCCCCGGCCCCTCCTCTGCCGTCCGGCGCCGCCCCGCCCCCGCCCCCGACCCAGGCCCTGCCGAGAGTGAGCAGCGAGCAGCCGGCTGGCCAGCGAGCGTCCCTGCAGCCAGCGAGCAGGAGGAGGAGCTGCTGCTGGGCCGAGGGCAGCTGGGGGAGCCGAAGAGGGCGCCCCAGGTAAGAGCTCCGCGCCTCCTACCCCGGGATTCCGGCGTCCTGGTCGCCCTGCCCTCGGGTGGGGAGGGACGGGGGCGGGGCCGACGGGGGCGGGGCTTGGCTGAGGAAACTGAGGCAGGAGGGAAGTGTCCCAGATACACAGCCGGTTTCCCCTGAGGGGTCTCAGGAGTCCAGACCCCCCACCCAAATCTGGAGGATGAGTAACCCGGAGTCTGCATTTCTTAGTACCCGAGAAGGAGGAGCCTGAATTCCAGAACTCCTGGGTCTGAGAGAGGAGGGCGCTGAGAGCCTGGATTCCTGGGTCTGAGGGAGAAGGACGCTGGGGGCATGGACTCCTGGGTCTGAAGGAGGAGGGCGCTGGGGGCCTGGACTGCTAGGTCTGAGGGAGAAGGGTGCTGGGGGCCTGGTCCTGGACTCCTCCTGGGTCTGAGGGAGAAGGGTGCTGGAGGCCTGGATTCCTCCTGGGTCTGAGGGAGGAGGGCGCTGGGGATCTGAACTCCTGGGTCTGAAGGTGGAGGCCCTGGTGTCTGAGGGAGAAGGCAGTCCTGGTTGGGTCAGCCTGGGCTCCTTTCACTCTCCACCCTTCCCCTTTCCTGTACGGAGGAGCCAGGGCAGGCAGTCACTCCAGGTATGTGCAGAAGTCTTGGGCGGGCCCTGGCCTGTCCTGTGAGGAGGGAACATTCCAGGAAGCAGCTTGGGGAACCAGGGCTTCTTGAGTGTGGGCCCTCGGGGACCCAGGTGTCCAGGTCAGTTCCGCCCCATCTGGGAGATGAATGGGCCGAGGGGGATGTAATCTCTTCCAGCCTGCTTCATCCACTGCCTCTCCCTTCCCCTCTTCTCCCCTCCCCTCCCTCCATCTGCTTCCCATCCCAGCTAGGAGCCATCACCTGAGTAGAAAAGGGGCCTCTGGAAAGGGGGCGGGGCCTTGACTCTTGGGTACCCTGAACTTCAAGAGGAACTCTGGGGAGGGCGTGTTCAGGGATTTGACCCCTTCCCCACCTGCCTCTATAACCTATCTATTCCTTTCTTCCCCTAGGTGGTTGCCCCCTCCCTCTCCTGAGATGTCAGGAAGGAGGGGGCCACCTGTGTCCTCCACAGGGGCCCCCCGAAGCCTGGGGACTCCCAGCCCCAGAGCTCCGAGGTGGAGGACGTGCTGACAGGTCTGGTAACCACTGACTGTTTCCCAGTCTTCTCTACGCCACCCTTTCCCAGAACCACAGGCTTCCAGAATGTTGTAGAGAAACTGCAACATCCAAGCCTCCACCAGCCTCTCCCAGCGCCAGGTCAATTTCACACACGGGAAAACTGAAGCCTGTCTCAGAGGGGCAGCGTTTCACCTCCTTAGTGGCAGTTTTGAGGTGAACTGGGGTCTCCCTAGGATTGCATGTTGTGGCCTTTCTCCAAATTGTGGAATGTGGCCAGGCATGGTGGCTTGAGTCTGTAGTCCCAGCTACTCAGGAGCCACAGCAGGAGGATTGCTTGAGCCCAGGAGTTCAAGTGCAGCGGGGAAATATATATAGCGAGACCTGGTCTTAAAACAATTTGTGGCCGGGCGCGGTGGCTCAAGCCTGTAATCCCAGCACTTTGGGAGGCCGAGGCGGGAGGATCACGAGGTCAGGAGATCGAGACCATCCTGGCTAACATGGTGAAACCCCGTCTCTACTAAAAAAAATACACAAAAAATTAGCCGGGCGTGGTGGCGGGCATCTGTAGTCCCAGCTACTCGGGAGGCTGAGGCAGGAGAATGGTGTGAACCTGGGAGGCGGAGCTTGCAGTGAGCTGAGATCGCGCCACTGCACTCCAGCCTGGGTGACAGAGTGAGACTCTGTCTAAAAAAAAAAAAAAAAAAACAATTTGTTTGGGACCAAGTACCATGGCTCATGCCTGTAATCCCAGCACTTGGGGAGGCCAGAGTAGGAGTATCACTTGAGGTTGGGCGTTCAAGACCACTCTGACCAACATGGTGAAACCCCATCTCTACTAAAAATACAAAAATTAGCTGAAAAACTGTGGCAGGCACTTTTAATCCCACCTACTCAAAAGGCTGAGGCAGGAGGAGAATCCCTTGAACCCAGGAGGCAGACATTGCTGTAAGCTGTGATTGAGCCACTGCACTCCAGCCCGGCCAACAGAGTGAGACCCTGTCTCAAAAAAAAAAAAAAAAAAAAAATTGTTTTGAACATCCTTCAAGATTCAAGACTCTCGGTTCCTCAGAGTTGTACAGGAAGGATGGCAGAATGCAGTTGCCCAGAGTTTAAGTCCTATCTCTGCCATTTGCTGGCTGTGTGACCAGACACAAATCATTAACTTCTCTGAGCCTGTATTTCAACATTTGTTGCTATTAAGTAATAGTAGTTGAATTTATTTTATTATTTTTTTTCTTTTTTTTTTTTTTTTTTTTGAGACGGAGTCTCACTCTATCGCCCAGGCTGGAGTGCAGTGGTGCAATCACGGCTCACTGCAAGCTTCGCCTCCTAGATTCACGCCATTCTCCTGCCTCAGCTTCCCAAGTAGCTGGTATTACAGGGGCCCGGTACTGCACCCAGCCAGTTCTTTGTATTTTTAGTAGAGATGGGGTTTCATCATGTGAGCCAGGATGGTCTCGATCTTCTGACCTTGAGATCTACCCGCCTCAGCCTCCCAAAGTGCTGGGATTACAGGCCTGAGCAATCACGCCTGACCATTATTATTATTATTATTATTATTGTGGTTTTTTTCTTTCTTTTTTTTTTTTCTTTTTGAGACGGAGTCTCGCTCCTTCGCCCAGGCTGGAGTGCAGTGGCCGGATCTCAGCTCACTGCAAGCTCCGCCTCCCGGGTTCACGCCACTCTCCTGCCTCAGCCTCCCAAGTATCTGGGACTACAGGCACCCGCCACCACTCCTGGCTAATTTTTTTTTGTATTTTTAGTAGAGACGGGGTTTCAACGTGTTAGCCAGGATGGTCTCGATCTCCTGACCTCATGATCTGCCCGCCTCAGCCTCCCAAAGTGCTGGGATTACAGGCATGAGCCACCTTGCCTGGCCTTATTTTTATTTTTGGGACAGAGTCTCACTCTGTCACCCAGGTGGCAGGGCAGTGGTGCGCTCTCGGCTAACTGCAACCTCTGCCTCTCAGGTTCAAGTGATTCTCCTGCCTCAGCCTCCCGTGTAGCTGGGATTACAGGCGCGCAGCACCATGCCCAGCTACTTTTGGTATTTTTAGTAGAGACAGGTTTTCACCATGTTGGCCAGGCTGCTCTCGAACTCCTGACCTCAAGTGATCCACCCACCTCAACCTCCCAAAGTGCTGGGATTAGAGGTGTGAGCCACGGTGCTGGCCTGTAGTAGTTGAATATTTATTATTAATCTACAAGTTGGACATTACGAAAGTCCTAGATATAGGGTCCCCCAAACTTCTAGAACAAGGGCTTCCCCACAATCCTGTCAGGCAAGTCTCCCCTGGGGTTCCCAACTTCTGTCCCCACTGAAGTTTTCACCCCCTTCTCTAATCCCAGCCTCCTGCTGTCTGTCTCCAGGTGCTCCAAGAGATGCTCCTCCTCCCCTCGTGCTCCCTCCCCATCCTCCTCCTTTTCCTCCTCCCCAGTGTGCCAATTGAGTCCCAACCCCCACCCTCAACATTGCCTCCTTTTCTGGCCCCTGAGTGGGACCTTCTGTCCCCCCGAGTGGTCCTGTCTAGGGGTGCCCCTGCTGGGCCACCTCTGCTCTTCCTGCTGGAGGCTGGGGCCTTTCGAGAGTCAGCAGGCACCCCGGCCAACCGCAGCCGGCGTGGGGTGAGCGAAACTGCACCAGCGAGTCGTCGGGGTGAACTGGCCGTGTGCGATGCAGTCAGCGGCTGGGTGACAGACCGCCGGACCGCTGTGGACTTGCGTGGGCGCGAGGTGGAGGTGCTGGGTGAGGTGCCTGCAGCTGGCGGCAGTCCCCTCCGACAGTACTTCTTTGAAACCCGCTGCAAGGCTGATAACACTGAGGAAGGTGGCCCGGGGGCAGGTGGAGGGGGCTGCCGGGGTGTGGATCGAAGGCACTGGGTGTCTGAGTGCAAGGCCAAGCAGTCCTATGTACGGGCATTGACCGCTGATGCCCAGGGCCGTGTGGGCTGGCGATGGATTCGAATTGACACTGCCTGCGTCTGCACACTCCTCAGCCGGACTGGTCGGGCCTGAGACCCATGCCCAGGAACTGATCAGGCAGAAAAAGAACTGAGCTGGATGCTGAGAGACCTCAGGGATGGCCCAGCTACTCTAAGGACTCCAGTTTGGGAACTCATCAAATAATCACAAAATCACAGTTCTCTGATTTTGAGCTCAATCTCTGCAAGATGGGTGAAACCACATGGGTTTTTGGAGGTTGAATAGGAGTTCTCCCAGAGCAACTTGAGGGTAATAATGATGATGGTAATAATAATAGCCACTATTTACTGAGTGTTTACTGTTTCTTAGCCCTAATACGTAACTCCTCAGATCAACTCCCACGGATTTGATCATTGGTGGCCCTTGGCGTTAAGTTGCTGGCTACTCAGTCTCAGAGGACATCACCTTGCTCATCCTGGAGAGTGGGAGGGGACATCTCACGATGGGGGAGGGAGGTAGGGGAGGAGAAAAACTGGAATAAGCAAGCAGATGGCCAGGGGACCTTGAGAATGTGGTCCACAGAAGGCCTTTAAGTATCTGGGAGCTGGGGTTCAAATGGGAAATCTTCCTTGGTGAGAGTGAGTAGGGGTTGGCTTAGAATATTCTCTTGTGAGGTAATGAGCCCGCCATCACAGGGGGAGTACAAACAAGGTTGAATGAGAAGTGATCAGGATGCTGGAGAGTTCAGCCCTGGGCAGGGAGCTGGAGTCAGGTTTCTAGCCCTTTTCCCTGTCCCAACCTCTACCCTACATCAGGAAAGCAACAGACCTTAAAATTGTCCAGCTTGATGGCTGGATATGATGACTCACACCTGTAATCCCAGCACTTTGGGAGGCCGAGGCTGGCAAATCACCTGAGGTCAGGGGTTCGAGACCAGCCTGGCCAACATGGTGAGATCCCCGTCTCTAAAATTACAAAAAGAAATTAGCTGGGCATGGTGGCGGGTGCCTGTAATCCAAGCTACTCTGGAGGGTGAGGTAGAATAATTGCTTGAACCCAGGATGCAGAGGTTGCAGTGAGCCAAGACTGTTCCACTGCTCTCCAGCCTGGGCAAAAGGAGCAAAACTCCGGGCCGGGCTTGGTGGGTCATGCCTGTAATCCCAGCACTTTGAGAGGCTGAGGCGGGCAGATCACAAGGTCAGGAGATCGAGACCATCCCAGCTAACACGGTGAAACCCTGTCTCTACTAAAAATACAAAACATTAGCCAGGCATGGTGGTGGTGGGCACCCATAGTCCCAGCTACTCAGGAGGCTGAGACAGGAGAATGGCATGAACCCGGGAGGCGGAGCTTGCAGCCGAGATGGTGCCACAGCACTCCAGCCTGGGCGACAGAGTGAGACTCTGTCTCAAAAAAAAAAAAGGGAAAAAAAAAAGGAGCGAAACTCCATCTCAAAAAAAAAAAATCATCCAGCTTGAGTGGAGCATGAGGTTCTAACTCACTGGCCTGCTGGCTAGGATCAGGGAGTCACTGTGGACTGAGGGCCCTTGAGTAGGGCCAGCAAAATCCAACAGAAGGGCCCCAGAAGCCTGAATGGGGGAGGAGGGGTAAGTGGGATTCTGGGCCTGGCTGCAGAAGGTAGCCTCAGTTTTCCTTGTCTGAAGAATGGGCTGGTGGGATGAGATAATGGGGATTGAGGAGGCAGAGGCCTTGACCAAAAACTTTTTTTTTTTTTTTTGAGATGGAGTCTAGCTCTGTTGCCCAGGCTGGGGTGCAGTGGCACAATCTGAGCTCACTGCAGCTTTCACCTCCTGGGTTGAAGTGATTCTCCTGCCTTAGTTGGGATTACAGGTGTGTGCCACCACGCATGGCTACTTTTTGTATTTTTTGATAGAGACAGGGTTTCGCCATGTTGGCCAGGCTGGTCTCAGACTCCTAACCTCAAGTGATCCGCATGCCTCAGCCTCCCAAAATGCTGGGATTACAGGCGTGAGCCACCGTGCCTGGTGACCTAAAGCTCTTTATAGTGAAGAAGTGCCAAGGGAAGCCAGGGACAGACCACAGTCCTTCACAATAGCCTTTCACGTGTTACCCATCACCCCACATGTGTTGCCAACACTCTTCTCTTTCTCTCTCTCTCTCTCTCTCTCTCTCTCTCTCTCTCTCTCTCTCTCAGGTCCAGCTTTGAGCAAAGGACTTAGGCATGCCCTCCCCCCATCTATACAGACCAGGCCCCTGGGCGGGCTGGGGCATGGCTGCCTCAGTTTCTATATCTCCTTGTTTTCCATCTGTGATTTTGGTCTTTTTTGCCACCTTCATCTCTGTCTCTAACTTCCAGTGTCTCTCACCTCTGGGTAGGACTAATAGCTCCCTTTCCATCGTGGTCTCTTTCTTCCTCCCTGTCTCTCCCCTTTCTTGTTGAATTTCTTTCTCACTCATCAAAGCTCGTCTTTTTCACTATGTCCCTGTGCACTTTTCTGTGGGTCCTTCCTCTTCCCCCACCCAGCCTACCCCGTTGGAAGTTTTCAACCAAATCAAAGGCAGGTAGGACAGCCGACGCCAGCATGCCAGCGTGCCAGCACTGACTCTTTGAGCATGTGCGGGAAGGGTTGGGGAGCCCCGGGAATTCTACCCCAGGTGGGCAGGCATGGCAGAGGGAGGAAGCAGCTGGGAGGTTCTGGATGCTGGAGCAAAGAGGGGTGTTTCTCATGGATGTCCTGAGGTGCTGGCTGTAGTGCAGGGGTCTCTGTCTCTTTCTGGATCTCTGACACCCCCAGGTCTGTGTCCCTCTTTCTGGGTCTCTGTCTCCCCCACCCTCTGCGTCTCTGAAATCCTGAACTTCTCCGTCCCCTACTGCCTGCCTCTCTTTGACTCTCTATCCCCCTCCCCGTGTTTCTCTGTGCCCCTCTTGGGGTCCCTGTCCCTCTGTCTCTGGGTCTCTTTCTCACTCCATCCAGCCACATGCCTGCAGGCCCTTCATTGGCTGGATTCAGAGTGGCGGGTACTGACACCCGGGGCAACAGCAACAAGCCAGCTCTTGCTTGGCTACACGGAGGGGGAGGAACCATGGCCAGTGGCACCCCGGCTCTGCGCTGTAGCCCCCTGTGGTCTTCCATCTCTGCAGCCGACGTACCTGGATCCTGGCCCAGCTGGCATCTCACCAGCAGCTGCCTTGCCCACCGCATTATCCCACCACTGCCCTTCACCCCGCCCACGGTGCAGGTGAGCAGACCCTAGGCTGAAGCCCTGCAGGGACTGGGTACCCAGAAAGCTGGAGGCTGAGAAAAGGGGATTGGAAGCTTGGACTCCTCTCTGAAGGAGGGTCCTGCAGTCCTGGGTCTGAGAGAGGAGGCACCAGGGAAGCTAAATGCCAGGGATTGTAGAGGAAAGGGCTGGGGGGCGACTGGAAGAGGTCAGAATTTGGGGTGGGGGGTGACACGGACTCCTGAGTCTTTCTAGCTGATGTGCAGCGCCTACTCTCCAGTCCAGGGTCGTGGACCCCCTACCCCCCGGCTGCAAAGCAGGATTCTCGCATCTGGACTTTCGACGAGGTCCTCAGCAGATGGGAGACAACCTCTGGCTCGGCCTACGTGCCCAAGACCCATGGCGGGCCCTGCGCCCAGCCCAGAGCCCCAGAGCCTGCAGACCCCACGCCGACTGTGGGAATCAAGGATTTAGGAGAAAAGGTAAGGTTTGAGGAGTGCCGGAGTCCGCGGGGGACAGGGCGGGAGACTGCATTTGAGTCCCCTGCGCCTTCACAGAGGTCTCCGGGTCACCTTTCCGCAGCTCACACGCCGTGGCTGGCCCCTACCACTGATCACCACGTACCAGCGCAGCGAGACGAGGGCGCAGTACACTGGCTCTCCCGATTGGGACGCGCGCGTCTCCGAATACGTCGGGGCCCAGCCCCCACAACGCGCAGACCACCTCTGCGGGGGGCCTTCCCAGGTGATGGGGTGGAAGCCGGCGCTGGCGAGACGGGGCGGAGTTCCGGGAGCCTGGGGCGGGGCCAGAAGAAATCACAGCCTTGGGGCGCGGCTAAAGGGTCGGGGGCGGGATCCCGAGGTTAGAGGAGCCTGGGGAGGGGCTGGGCCTCGAGGCCAGGCCAGAAGGACCAGTGGCTGGACATTCGCCTTCAGGGTTCCGAAGCTGCTGCGGGGCTAGACGACGGGCTGTGGGTGGGGACAAGATTAGAATATTCTGAGACGGCGTCAGGTGGGAGCTGGGAGAGGTAACGTGGAATTGTTGCTCAAGATGCAGCTCAGCTCCAGTGGCCACACCAAGACGGTTTAAGACCCAGAGAAAACCGGGGAGGGAGGTTTGTGGTGGCTGGGGGCCTGGGTTTGAGTTCCCTGACCAGCAGGACGTGCTCGAACTTAGGGAAGTGAGGCTGGGAAGGGTTCGGGTTTGAGGAAGGAAGCTGAAGTTCCCTGGCGTGGGTGGCAGGAAGGGCTCTGACTCTGGAGCTGGGTTCTAGGACCGTGGCCGTCACGGCTGTCGAGGCCGAAGAAGAGGGATTCTGAACTGGGGACCCAAGGCTTGGAACAGGGCATGAAATCTATGCCTTGGATATGCCTCCTCCCCCAATCTTGCTCCGGCTCTAATCGCCTGGACGAAGAGCCCCGAGCTGTCTGGCCGACCTTTCACAGTATCCGACCGGGGCGTCCTGGACCACCGCCAGCTCTATCTGACCACCTCGGCGCTGGAGTTTCGGTTCTATCCCAAGTAAGCCAGGCTCTCGCTCCTGCACAGCACTCGCCTTGGCCAGTATACGCCGAGCCTCTGGGCTGGCTCCCATTCTCTGACCTGGTGGTCTCAGCCTCGAGACCTGTAGCAGCAAGAACCAAAATTCAGGCCCCAACCCCTCCCTCTTTTAGTACCCAGGAGGCCTTAGTGTCAACTCTCAGGTAGGGACAGGAAGCCTGCACAGGCGCTCAGGGGGATTCTGGATCTGAGGACTGGGCCTCCTTCGGTACTTGAGCCCCCAGACACTCCTTCCCAAGGAAGCGAAAGCCTGCGTTTCCTTCCGAAGGATGCGAAAGCATAGTTTCCAGGACCTTAAGTACCTCGAGGACCCAGGAACACGGGCTACGCACGCCGGGTCCCGACCTTCCTAAGGGGCCCTCGCCTGGAAATGCAGGAGTTTGGGTGTGCAGACTCCTTAGATCCCGAGGTCTGAACCTCATCCCCAAGGATTCAGCTGTATCCTCACCATCCTGCCCTGCTCCCACAGGAGCTGTCCGGATACCCGCTCAAGGACTCCCTGACCTACTGGAGCTTCGAAGAGACTCCCTAACTCTGGGGTCACGACCCGCAGCGGCCGTCCTGTTCGCGCTCCTCCCGGCCTCCCCGAGCGCCACACCGCGGGGTCCTGACTCTGGTTCAGGAATCCTACAGCCTCTCGCTGCACGCGCTCGGCCCGCTGGACCGCTTCCGCTAGGTGGAGGCGCCCTGGGGTGGCCCCCACTGGAAGCCCTTGCCGGGCATCCACAGCGTGCCGAAAGCCTACAACACCGAGAACTCCTGCTCCGGCAGCTTGAAGTCGGCGCTAGTGGGAGCCGGCCCGGCCCGCCCCACCCCAGACACGTCCTCTGGCCTCGCGGCGGAGCGGAGCTCGGGACCTCCGCCCACTACGCGGTGTCCGGACTTAGTTGGGCTCGCACTCATTACGTCTACCGGCAATGTCGGGGCCGGACTACCCCAGACACGCACACTCAGCTGCAGCATCCAGGAGAAGGGACTAAGTCCAGATATTGTCCTTGAAGACTGTGGCCCCGCGGGCAGGACACGCCCCCTGCGGGCGTATTAAATAATGAGTTAAATCATCTGAACCACACGCGTTTCTGGGGACTGCTCCGGGCATCCTACCTTGAGGGCAGGGTGGGCGGAGGTCCCTAAGGGAGATGTGGGGCTCTGGCTGAATCCCTCGTTGGGGAGCATTTGGGTCAAGCGGCTTCCCCAGCTGCACAATCACGGGGAGGCCCTCGTGGATTGGGCAGGAGCTAAGTCCGAAGCCGCGCCCCTCCTGGGAGGTTGGACTTGCGGGAATGCCTTAAGTGGAGGAGGGTTGAGGCTTCAGTCCCGCACCTTTCTCGGGTCACGGCCTCCTCCTGGCTCCCAAGACAACTCGATAGGCAGAGGCAGGTTTTCCTACACCCTACGCCTGTGCCTCCAACACAGACTAGACCCTAGCACTGGACGACTGAGTCTCTGAGGTCACTTCACCGTGGTCACCTCGATAGGCAGAGGCAGGTTTTCCACACTCACGCCTGTGCCTCCAACACAGACTAGACCGCAGCACTGGACGACTGAGTCTCTGAGGTCACTTCACCGTGGTCTCTGCCTCACTCTCCTTCTCGCTGCTGGACCACTGAGGGAGAGGGCTGGGGCGGCCCGCTGAGCCACGCCTGTGCCTGTGGCCTTGTGCACTCCTCACCTCCCGGGGTGTTATGTCGAGGTCACCCCAGCATCCTACCACCTCCTGAGGCTCCTAAGCGCCCCACAATCCCGGGCGGCTTACAAAGCCAGGTACACGAGGCGGGGGACGCATTCTCAAGGATGGGAGATGTCTATAAGACTGCAGGGCTCCCCAAGTTCCTTCCACCTCCAGGCCATCACTGGCATGAGAAGGCAGACGCGTGGTGAGCTGTGGGAAGGAGGCCTCTTTCTGAGGGGGCGCACCCCAGTAAGCTTCAGGTGGGGCAATCCCTGAGGGTGGGGATCGAAATGTTGGGGTATCTCAGGTCCTCTGGGCTGTGGGGAAGCTGAAAGGCAGGTGTCTGGGTGGTGGGTCCTGACTAGGAGATGCCGAAGGGTCTCTGGGTCGCTGCACGTGGTGTACTCGGGAATGGGAGGGCTAGGCACGGGTTGAAGTGTGTCTCAGACCGGCTGAAGCATTGTCCTTGTCCCAGGGGCTGCCGCCGCACAAGCGCGCTGAGCATGGGCGGGGCACGGGCATCCAGGAGCCGCTGGCGCCACCGTGCCGCCCCATCAATGCCACCCTGGCTGCCAGAAGCGAGGCCTGCCCGCGGTGCATCACCGCCAACACCACCATTGTGCCGGCGTTCCACCATGGTGAGCTGCCCCGGGCCAGGATACACAGGTGCTGCCACCTCAGGGCTGGATCACAGAGGCAGCGGGGGTGAAGGGCGGTCTGCCTGTCTGGTCGGGGGCTGGGGAATGGGGTGTGGGAGGGCAGGAACAGAGGGCTTCCTGGACTCCCTGAGTCTGGGACCTTTGGAGGGGCAGCTGGGAGCTCAGCGGAGGCGCTGGCCCCAGGCACATGCTCACTCCCTATCTACACTTCCCCTCCAGATGCGGGCAGGTGCTGCAGGCGGCTGCCGCTGTGCCCCAGGTGGTGTGTGCACTACTGCATGGTGTGGTGCGCTTCTCGACTCCATCCGGCCCCGGCTGCCCGCCTGGCGTGACCCTCGCGGGTCTCCATTCCCGTGGGCTCTCAGCTGTCGCTGTGGACTCTGCCGCCAGCACCTTCTGACTGTGGGGTCTCAGACACCCTCGACCTGTGATGACCCCACCTCCAGGCCTCTCTTCCCCAAAGGACCCTCCCCCAGCCCTCCAAGTCCATCCCACTCCTGGAACTAGCAGGCACCCCGGCTCCTCCCGCACACAAAGGCTTCTCAATCTGCACCCTGGGGTGTCTTTCAGACTCAGGGCAACCACACACACGCAGGGTGGGTCCAGCTTCAAAACCATTTTTTACAAAGTCACACTGTCAGATCTCTGGTAGAATACAAGGTGGATGGCTGGACGCCGTGGCTCATGCCTGTAATCCCAGCACTTTGGGAGACTGCAGGGCGGATCACAGGTCAGAGATCCAGAGACCATCCTGGCTAACATGGTGAAACCCCGTCTCTACTGAAAATACAAAATTAGCCGGGAGAGGTGGCAGGTGCCTGTAGTCCCGGGTACTTGGGAGGCTGAGGCAGGAGAATGGCGTGAACTCCAGGAGGGGAGTATGCAGTGAGACGAGATGGTGTCACTGCACTCCAGCTTGGTCCACAAAGTGAGACTCCATCTCAACAACAAAAAAGAAAAAACAGGGTGGGGACAGGGGATGACATCCAGCTCAGGAGGTGTCCATGGTCTCGCCTTCTGTGGGGAGAAGGAAGGCCACATGGTCAGTGTGGCCCAGGGGGCAGGGCCTGAGCCTTCAAGGCCGAGCTCCCTCTTCCTCCCTCTCTGAAGGTGGCACAGGCAGTACAGCTGGGGGTAGGGACCTGAATGGATGAATGGGACTGGAGGTGGATGTCATCTCTTCCATTCTCCTTCATCCACTGCCTCTCCTTCTCCTCTCCCTCCCTCCCTCTCCATCATCTTCCAATCCCAGTCAGGAGCCATCACCTGGGTAGAAAAGGGGTCTTCCCGGGAAAGGGGGCGGCGCCTGAGTCTCTCGGTACCCTGCACTTGTTCAGCGATTTGCCCCCCTTCCCCACCTGCCTGTATACCCTGCCTGATCTTTTCTTCCACTAGGTGGTTTCCCCCTCCCTCTCCTGGTATGTCAGGAAGGAGACAGCGATGTCATCCACAGGGGCCCCCAAAGTCTAGGGACTCCTGCAGCCCCACAGAGTCCCAAGGTGAGGTGGAGGTGTGCTGACATCTGGTAACCATGGACTGCTTCTTCCCAGTCTTCTCCAGGCCACCCCTTTCCCAGAACCACAGGCTTCCAGAATGTGAGAGAAACTGCAACATCCAAGCTCACTCAGCCTCCCGCGCTCAGGTCAATTTCACACACGGGAAAACTGAAGCCTGTCTCAGAGGGGGCAGCGCTTCACCTCCTTAGTGGCAGTTTTGAGGTGAACTGGGGTCTCCCTAGGATTGCATGTTGTGGCCTTTCTCCAAATTGTGGAATGTGGCCAGGCGTGGTGGCTTGAGTCTGTAGTCCTGTGCTACCAGAGCCATAGCAGGAAGATTGCTTGAGCCCAGGAGTTCAAGTGCAGCGGGGGAATCATAGCAAGACCTTGTCTGAAACAATTCTTTTCGGCCGGGCGCGGTACACCTGTAATCCCAGCCATTCGGGCCAAGGCAGGTGAGTATAGCTTGAGGTTGGGAGTTTGAGACCAGTCTGACAACATGGTAAGTCCTCATTTCTACTAAAAATATAAAAATTAGCTGGGCACGGTGGCAGGTGTTTGTAATCCCAGCTACTCAGAAGGCTGAGGCAGGAGAATCACTTCAACCCAGGAGGCAGACGTTGCAGTGAGCCAGGGTTGTGCCACTGCACTCCAGCCTGGCAACAGAGTGAGACTCTGTCTCAAAAAACAAAAACAAAAAAAAACTTGATTGGAACATCCCCAAGACAAGACTCACGGTTCCTCAGAGCTGTACAGGAAGGATGGCAGAATGCAGTTACCCAGACTTTAAGTGCCATCTCTTACATTTGTTGACTGTGTGACCAGATGCAAACGTTAATTTCTCTGAGCCTGTATTTCACGACTGTTACTATTTTTTTTTTTTTTTTTTTTTTTTGAGACGGAGTCTTGCTCTGTGCCCCAGGCTGGAGTGCAGTGGAGTGATATCGCTCACTGAAGCTCCGCCTCCCCGGTTCACGCCATTCTCCTGCCTCAGCCTCCCTAGGAAGCTTGGACTACAGGCGCCCGCCACCACGCCCGGCCAAGGTTTTTGTATTTTTTGCAGAGACGGGGTTTCACCTGTGTTGGGCCAGGATGGTCTCGATCTCCTGACCTTGTGATCCACCCGTCGGCCTCCCAAAGTGCTGGGATTACAGGCTTGAGCCACGCGCCCGGCCAATCTGTTGCTATTAAGTAATAGTAGTTGAATATTTTTATTTTTATTCGATTCTATTGTTATTTTGAGATCGAAGCTTCGTTTGTTGCCCAGGCTGGAGTCCAGGCGCAATCTTGGCTCACTGCGACGCCCCGCCTCCTGGGTTCAAGTGATCCTCCTGCCTCAACCTCCTGAGTAGCTGGGATGATAGTATGCACCACCATGCCTGGGAGATTTTTATATTTCTAGACATGGGGTTTCTCCATGCTGGTCAGGGTCTGGAACTCCTCACCCACCCCAGTTGATCTGCCCACCTCAGCCTCCAACAATGCTGGGATTACACACATGAGCCACCACGCCCAGCCTTAGTTTTTATTTTTGGACAGAGTGTCACTCTGTCCAGGTGGGGAGGGCCGTGGCACGATCTTGGCTCACTGCCATCCTCGCCTCCCGGGTTCAAGCGATTCTCCTGCCTCAGCCTTGTATAGCTGGGATTACAGGTGCGAGCACCACCCAGCTAATTTTGGTATTATTAGTAGAAATGGGGTTTCACCATGTTGGCCAGGCTGCTCTTAAACTGCTGACCTCAAGTGATCCACCCACCTCAGCCTCCCAAAGTGCTGGGATTACAGGTGTGAGGCACAGTGCTCGACCTGTAGCAGTTGAATAATTACTATTAATCTACAAGCTGGGCGTTATGTGTCCATAAGGCAGAGTCCCCCAAACTTCTACAGCAAGGGCTGCCCCACAATCCTGGCAGGCAAGCCTCTCCTGGGGTTCCCAACTTCTGTCCCCACTGAAGTTTTATCCTCCTCTCTAATCCCAGCCTCCCTTACTCTTGCCTCCATGTGCTGTGAGAGCTGCTCCCCTCCCCAGACTCCCTCCCCGCATCCTCTCATTTTCTCCCCAGTGTCAATGGATCTTTAATCCCCCATTTTGACATTGTCTCCTTTTCTTGCCCCAAAGTGGGACCTCTTTCCCGCGGGGTCCTGTCTAGGGTGCTGCTCTGGGCCCCCTCTGGTCTTCCTGCTGAGACTGGGGCCTTCGGGAGTTAGCAGGGCATCCTGGCCAACCGTGCAGCCAGTGTGGGTCGAGTGAAACTGCACTGGTGAGTCATCAGAGTGAACTGGCCGTGCGATGTGGTCAGCGCGGCTGGGTGACAGACCGGGACTGCTGTGGACTTGGGTGGGTTCGAGATGGGAGGTGTTCGAAGTGTGCCTATAGCTAGGGCACCTCTGCCAGTACTTTGTCGCCGCTGGCCCATAACTCTGATGAAGGTGACCTGGGGCAGGTGGAGGGGGCCGGGGTGTGGACCAAAGGCACTGGGCCTGAGTGCAAGGCCGGGCAACCCCTATGTGCGGGCATTGACCTCTCTGATGCCCAGGGCCGTGGGCTGGGCGACAGATTTGAATTGACACTGCCCACCTGTACGCTCTCAGCTGGACTCACCAGGACTGAGGCTTATACACAGGAACTGATCAGGCAGAAAAAGAACAGAACTGGATGCTGGAGAGACCTCAGGGATGGGCCAGCGGCTCTAAGGACCCTGTAGTTTGGGAACTCATCAAATGATCACAAAATCACAACTCTCTGAATTGGAGCTCAATCTCTGCAAGATGGGTGAAACCACATGGGGTTTAAGGTTGAATAGGAGTTTCCTGGAGGAAACTTGAAGGTAGTAATTATGATGCTGATTATAAGAATAAACACTATTTACTGAGTGTTACTGCTTCTCAGTCCTAATACATAAGTCTTCAATCAACCTCGGATTTGATCACAGGCCTTTGGTGCTAAGTGGCTGACTGCCCAGTCTCAGAGGACACCACCTTGCTCATTCTGGACAGAGGGAGGGCACATTGCACGGTGTGGATGGGGAAGGAGAGAAACTGGAACATGCAAGCAGATGGCCAGGGGACCTTGAGAACGTGGTCCACAGAAGGCCTTTAAGTATCTGGGAACTGGGGTTCAAATGGGAAATCTTCCTGGTAAGAGTGGTAGGGATAGGCTTAGAATATTCTGTTGTGAGGGTAAATGAGCCCCATCACAGGGAGGCAAGGCTGAATGAGAAGTGATCAGATGCTGGAGAGTTCAGCCCTGGGTGGGGAGTTGAGTCAGGTTTCTAGTTCCTTTTCCCTGTCCCAACCTATGCCCTACATTGGGAAAGAAACAGACTCCAAAATTATCCCGGGCTTGATGGCCGGGTGTGACTCACGCCCAGTCCCAGCACTTTGGGAGGCCGAGGCAGGCGAATCACCTGAGGTCAGGCGTTCAGAAACCCCTGTCTCTACTAAAAATTATAGAAAG